ATGGCTTTTATACAATTTGAGGTTGTAGTGATTTGAGAGTTAGTTCTCACACAGTCAGCAAAAAACAACCTGCCTGTTGTCAGAACAGGAGATGGATGGAAATCGGCCCTCCCATCTAGAAAAGACCCATTGTATAGCTTGAGCAGGCAAAAGAGGAGCAAACATTTGAATATTATCTCATTGATACCAGCATTGTTAGAACTCCTCTGTAATGGCTTTTTAGCTTTTGTACAATACATTCTACTTATCAGGAATTGTTGGACGTTGGTATGTCTGTTTAACCTGTTCCAAGCTAACAATGTCTGAATAAAGGGGAACTACAGGGCAGTATTGGGGTTCAGGGATTAATGAACATGGTCTAGAAAACAGATTTCTTATGTTTGTTTGGCTGGCAAGCCTGGTTGGCATTTTCAGAGGCAAAGTCGTCGGCTATGATGACCTGAGGCAATTGAGCAGAGGCTGACTGGGATGCCTTTCTTTATAGCCAGCTGTCCTGACTTCTGATTGGCCATTAGCTGAGCTGATTTTTGATTGGTGCAGGTTGGCGAGGGCTGGTCTGTCACCAGCGGCGGACAAAATATCAGGAAGTCTGTTCTCTGAACTTCGGTCACTAAATCCTGAAGCCCAATACCGCCTACGAGATACCGTCTGTGAAAGCCTACACCAGCATAAGAGGAGAACTGTTCCCTTTATATCAACACAGCTAATGGTTATTTAAAGTTCTCATAATGGGCTGGGAACAAAATAAGTGCAAGGTCATGGCAGCAAGAGTGGAAATTAATGTTCATAGAGAAGTACAAAGGTAGCCTTGAAAAAAAAAGTATGCAAAAGCCATTACAAAAACAACAGCTTTGTCTAGGAAGACAGGAGAAGTGACGAACAAACTCAAGATTTCTCTCTTGGATATAAAAGAAAGAAAAAAAAAAAAAAAAAACCTCTGTCAGGTTTTCAAAATTCCGTCATTGTAGCCTACATGTTCTATTTCTCAATATTAGCAATTTTAAGAGATGCGGACTTCAACTCCCAGAATTCCCCACCCAGCACAAAGTTGAAATCCATACATTTTAAAGATGCTAAGGTGGGAAAATACTGGCTTATATCAGTAAAGTCCTAAAATCCTACAGTATCTACGCCCTGAACTGGCCTATTCCAAATATTGTCCTCAATTGAACTATGATTAAGGGCAAATGGAGACAGAGCTTCAGACCTATGTTTGAAGGTCTGCTTTTTAACCTATGTTTAGGTGAAAAAACAGTAGATGCATTGTCTTCCTGATAATAGCCTTATCTTGAGTCTCCTCTCTTTTCTTTATTATCTCTCCCATATGCAAAATTTTAAAATGTAAACTGCCTGGATTCTGCCAAATGACCAGCCTTTCAGTTTTCCAATCCTTCTTTATCTAATTTAAAATATTTCAGTGTTAGCAGACTATATTTTGATTTATCCAGGGAACAGGGCATGATGAACTTGGGTGTATCTTGTGGGATATTAGGCAAGATTATTATACAAAAAAAATAAAATAAAAATAAAAATAAAAATGCCCAGTGCAATCAGGGAAAACTCTCCCTCTGAAACATGTAAAACAAAATGGACACAGGCTTCCCAGGTGAAAATTGAAGAAAAAGCATAATTGATTGACAAATGCAATAACACAGAGAATTATTTCTTATTCATAGAAAGATATCAAGATATCTTTCATTCATAGATATCAAGTGAGATTCACTTGATATCTCAGAACTAAAACAGAAATTCAATAGTAGACTCGAGGATTAGAAATATGCTGTTTGTTCCCATGTAATAAGAATCACCTATATCACCTTTTAATCTACCCATTTTATTAAAAAAACCAAAACAAATTCATTTGAAAAACTTACAAAAATCCTTCAAACTGTATATTAAGACGGTTATTCCTCCCCAAACAAAGCCTACATTTGCTTTTTTTCAGCTGGGCAAAATGCTCAGTCACATATAATTAGTGGGCTGGCATAGTACAGTGTTTTCTTTTTAGCTGGATAGCATAGCTGTTAATGTCACTGGGTGAGAGTTGGCACTTTGCTTTTACATATGGTCTGACCATGAAGCCGGAGTGAAATCTAACCTGTCCCTAAAATCAGTGCATAGACAAACACTGAAACCAGAAAAAAACATATGTCATTAATAGCAGAGCCAGCATTACGTTCTTGATACAGTAAAGTGGAAAACAGACACACGCTTGATTGTGGCAATACTGTAGAGGAATCCCTGCATTAACTTAAGAATGCCTCTAGGAGGCAGTATAGTCAGATAAATCTTGGCACAAAGGGAAGAAAAAACTTCACCTTATTCTGCAATAGGATCTTGACCGATTGCTTAACTTCTGAGGCCAATTAAAAGAGAGGCTGATCATTTAAGTTGATTTATCAATTTATGTTGATAATTAATGCCACTGGTTGTTTTTTTCCCCTAACATAGAAAAATCAGTTTGAAGCAAAGGTGATTAACTTTGTGGTAAAAAATTAGAAGAGCTGGCCCTTTTTCCACAAGTGCCACCCTCCTTAAGATTGTCAAAAGAAATTGTTTTGGTTTGGCCTAAACCCTTTTTATAGAACCTTCTTTTTCATCTCTGTCTGAAGGGTCCTTTTGCTATAAAAAACATCTCTTCAGACAGAGATGAAAAAGAAGGTAAATGAGCATAAACTGTACCCTGAATCAGCACTCCTTATCCATAAAAGGCTGTCTTTCCTATCTTCATGCGAACAATCAAAACTAAGCAGCGTCAAAACGATCAAAACGAAGAGCACCGTCAAGTCTGATTATTCTCCATTATGAAAACCTAAGAGAAAGAAACAAAGGGAGAAGGACCAAGGAATAGGAGGGATTATTGACTTACTCAAGGGGCATGGAAGGAACCCAGTTTCCAGAAAAACAAGCACAATTTCACTGAGCAAGCAAACAGAAAGAACAAGTATGAATTTAGCAGGAAAAAAAAGTCAAAAGGGACACCTGTCTCCCCATTTCCACTTCTTTTCCTCTTCCTAGTCCAGGTTAGCCCTCACTCACAGAGGCAACTCACAGACACAGAAAACAAACAAGGAGGGCTATGAAGTTAGCAGAGAAGGCATGGACTGTGAGGGAAAGTTCAGTCATGATCTGGCAAGTATGTGCAATGTTTGCACAATCTGAACTGCCAGATCATGACTGAAGCTACACTTGCTAAATGTGCAAGCTGGGGTCTTTATTGCTTCAGAAGAGAGTTTTCAGGAGAGAGCTTCTTCTCCATAGTCCATCAGGGGAGGCAAGAAGTTCACAAATGGGCAGCTGAAGCTTTCAGGAAAGGCGATGAAGCCAAGAGAACACCTCAGAACAGAAAAACTCTCTTTGACTGAGGCAAAAATTTGGAAGTGTGGACCCAAAGACGCAAGAGAATCGGGAGAGACTCAGTAGAGTTCACTGTCTGTTATTAGGATGATGTGCTTGGTGATTTTTCTCTGCTGCCAGACCAGTCTATAATAAAGTTCCCGTCATCCCTGATTTGATAATGGATGAGAGGACTGTTCTGTATCACTGAGAAGTGCCTGGTGGGCACAAAGAGGGGAATTCCCGTCTTGCAGATGTTCCCACCAGGTTTTGAGTGCAGCACCAGCCATGATCCCAAGGCAGACGCTATGGAGTAGCTAATTATTTCAGAGAACCTGGTGGCTTTCAGAGACACTGCAGCTGAGATAACTGATTTTGACTCCTGATGGGACTAGGTTCTAGGATTAGATGACACTGCTACTACTGGCCTTCTTGCTGCACATAGCAGCTTCCCTGCCAGAGTTAGTTGAGGCTGAGTCTGGATTGGCTGTGGATTTTCCCAAACTAAAGGACCTAGGAGACTAGTTTGCCTCCTGTGAGCATTACTTTGGACGTGGCTTAGGAGTTCATGGCCACTATGGAATTGATCAGTGGTGAAATCCAAATTTTTTTACTACTGCTTCTGTGGGCATGGCTTGGTGGGTGTGGCAGGGGAAGGATACTGCAAAATCTCCATTCCCACCCCGCTCCAGGGGAAGGATACTGCAAAATCTCCATTCCCACCCCACTCTGGGGCCAGCCAGAGGTGGTATTTGCCGGTTCTCCAAACTACTCAAAATTTCCATTACCGGTTCTCCAGAATCTGTCAGAATCTGCTGGATTTCACCCTTGGATCTGATCCAGGTGTGTATGGAGCCAATTCACAGTAGTGATCAGATTTTAACTTGGTTTGTATCTCAGGGCAGTGGTGGCATGATCTGAAATGGGAAGTTATCATCATCAATTGCCTACCATGCTTGGATCACCATGGGTTAGTTCTAGAATTCTCTGCAGGCATTGCTTCTGCAGAGAAGAATCTAGTTCATCAACATCTGATGAAACTTGCTGTTTCAGAGGAAGCATGCAGCGGTTCCTGAGGTTTTGCTGCATGGTTTGGCCAAAGCTATAACTGCTGTCTGGAATGAAGAAGCATCCATGGATTGTTCCTCTGGTCTTTCTCTATGTCAGCTCCACAGGAAAGCTAAAACTACTTTTTGAGTTCAGCTATAACAGAATCTTGCAAATTTGATAGTGTTGCACCTAGTCCTCTCTTATACTCCTGTGAATTAGGAGGATATCTATCTAAGCCCTTTCCTAATATTTTCTCTTTAGCAATAGCAATAGCACTTAGACTTATATACCGCTTCACACTGCTTTACAGCCCTCTCTAAGTGGTTTACAGAGTCGGCATATTGGCCGATCTGGATCCTCATTCTACCAAGGAAGGATGGAAGGCTGAGTCAACCTTGAGCCTGGTGAGATTTGATCTGCCAAACTGCTGGCAGCTGATGATCAGCAGAAGTAGCCTGCAGTACTGCACTCTAACGACTGCGCCACTGCAACTCTTTCCTCTGAACTTAAAAAAAATGTTTGTGCCCTTTTCTCTACATAACATTTCTTGCATACTAATATCATCATGTTTATCTTCCTTACTCTCTACACACTCTTATCTTTGATTCCCTCAGGAGCTCCAGAAGATGACAGCTGAACTCTGTTGAAGGAAAACAAGGAATGAATCTGATCAAACACAGGTAGAAACCTTTCTTAAGGATTACCACATGGTGAAAAGCCTGACAAAACATAAATATTTTTGCTTTATTATATCTGCAGGCAGCCATCCAACAGCTTTGTTCAGTTGAATATCACCTCTCCTGGGAAAGAATAGACCAGAAAGCAATTGTAGGGCCATTACAAAGATTATTCTAGGCATCTGTAGGTTAAAATCACTTGGCTTCACTCTGAGTTACACTACAGTTGTGCTGGTCCCTTAGGGCACAGTCTAGCACAGTTACTTAGGAAGAGTTAGAACTTATTGAACTTGAGAAAACAGGCAGGGTCCTCAATGCCATGAGAATGGCCACCTATATATTACACATTAGTTAAGTTATTCCAAAAGGTAACATGAAATGCTTCTTCGAAGGAGGAAGTGGTAGCACAGCATTTAACAAGATTATGGTCTACCTCCTTCTCAAGAAAACTTCTTTAGATCCAACAATGTTGGGTAATTTTTTTGCAATGTATTCATGTAAGACATTGTTGTGGTCCGCCCACTGTCCGACTCCTGGCAGCGGAGTCAGACAGTGAGAGGCTGGGGAGGAACATGGGCCAATCCTGGAGTCTGGGGAATGCCCAGATGAGGGCTCTGCATTGGAGGCAGAGATGGGGCCAGGGCCATCTGGGAATTTTGTGCAGACTCCGGAGCCTCCAGAGTCGGACGGCAGAGGAACAGGAGGAGCCTCTTCCTAGTGCGCGTATGCGCAGAGCTGCCAGAAGGCAAGAACAGTTAAAACAAAAGGGATGACTCAGAAGTAAGGCCTGGAGATGATTGGCCCCTCCCATAAGGCTTAAAAGAGGGGCAAAAGCACGTGGGCCCTTTGCAGGAAAGCAACGTTGTTAATTCTGTTCCCAGTGGGCATCTATGTTTGATTCTGGCCTCCATGTGGCTTTGCCAAGTAGGTCTTTGGCAGCATGACAAAGGAGATAAATGTTGTTGATTATCCCGAAGGACTTCTCCGAAGGACTTTTTGCAACTAATTGGGACTTAGCTGTGAATGAACGTAATTCACAGCTGTTGCAATAAAAGAGGTTTTTGGGACTACTCATGTGTCTTAATGACTCGGTAAGCCTAGGTCACAACAGACATGATGCTTTCATTGTGAAAATTATCATATTGACAGCAATGAAAAAAAGCCAGCATGCAAATTACCAGAGTTTCAAAGTAGATAACCAAGAGAATGGCTATACTTTGAGGCTAGGGAATTGCTCAGGAAATGCTGAGGACAGTGTAATCATCATGAGTCAATCCTGGATCCATGACAAAGGGAAGTTTCCCAAAATCATGACTCACACTAGACAATGGTGATAGCTGGTGGTAAGATAACCATTGGTTAGCCTTTCCTTAACCAATTCCAACAATGTATTGAAAGGGCTTGTATACACAGATTAAGAAGTGCAAATTAGCATCCATCATGATTAGACCAAATGGACAAAATTGCAGTGTATTTTCTGGACATTAATGGTTTACATCTTAATTGCTTTAGAGTCCTCCTCTCAGTTTAGATCAGATTTGAAAAGCAAGCGACAATGTGTTATTGGCCTGTAGATAAAGCCCATGAAAAGAGATTGCACAAGACCACAGCTGTGTTGTTAAACAATGCTCACACATTAGTATCAATTAGAATCAAATATTGGTCGGTAGTATCAGTATTTCTATAAAAAATACCGCAGTTGATTTGGCTTTTATTTTCCACTTCAAACAATCGTTAACTATTTGGACAAGCATGATCCCAAAATAATAGGACTCTATAAATTATGAGCATGAAAAAGGTTTAGGTTCATGTTGGAAATGGGAACAACATGAACGATCCATGTACATACTTTAATACAGAGGATTTTAAAGATCAATATTAAAGTGAAATTGAAACTTTTCCTTTTAGGATTAAAGGATAATCAGTTATAAAAAGCCATGGAAGATTATTTCAGTATATGATTACTGTAGCATGATTATTGAATGTACAGAAATGGAAAGATTTGACTCAACTCACTATGGAGAATGGTTGGTGTTCCTTTCGCAAACAACTCTATATTTATGATCATGCATAGATATCATGTACTCTTTTATCAGTGCTGCAGAGAAGAGGCAAATTTCTAAACCAATAGAAGGCACCTTGATACTTTCATTATAGCAAATGTAATGAATCTGCCATAAGTATTCTATCAAACATTATGAAATTTCCTGTTATTCACTGTATATTTCTTTTAAGAAAATCTGAGTAGGCTCCGGCAATAGCAGATTAAAAAAAGAAAAGAATATGGGGAACTCAGGAAATATGAGTAACTTATAAATCCTAGGAGTTGGAAACTATGTTAAATGAGCTTTTTGATTTAATTTCCATTGTTCTTCCTTTCCCTTTTCTTTCTTCTAAAGATTTGCTGCCATACGAGTAGGAATTATGCCACTGGAAAAAAAAATAGCCCAATCAAATATTAATGCAACAAGGACAAGGTCAAGGAATCAGATCTAGGTTGAAGAGGTTAAAAATCTTAAATATTTTAAAAATTTAAAAAATCTTAAGAGATTAAAAATCACAAAGGATGAATTGATTAGTTTTGTTTTCCCACATTCTAACTAATTATCTTAAATCATTTTTTAAAAAAAATCTAGTGGTTAATATTTGCTGAATAAAGAAAATTATACTTCCATGCAAACATGAGAGAGAAAAAGAGCATGCAATGAATAACAATAAATTATTCAATCTCATTTTTGTAAGGATGTATAAATGAAAAATTAGAGAAATGAGCAATAATGTAACATTTAAAGACAAATGCAAAGTGCTTCAGTTAAAAAACAGAAATGCAAAAATATAGAACACATAGCTTGCCAAAACTATCTATGAAAAACATACTGTAATCAGATACTAATTATACATCAGTAGTATTGCATTTCTGGAAAAAAAAACATGTAGGATTGTAAATTGTATCAATAAAAAGATAGTTTCCAAGTCATGGGAAGTAATGCTTTCAACACTTTTTTTTTGCCTTGGCCAGCCCTTTTCAAGTATTGTATTTAATTCTGAACCTGAGATTTTAAAGATTGGGAAAAATTGGAATAAGTTTAGGAAGAGGCAATGAGGATAATTGGGGACTAGACAGAAAGCCCTCTGAAGAGATACTATATGGCAGTGATGGTGAACCTATGGCACACGTGCCTAAAGTGACACGTGAAGCCATGTCGCCTGGCACATGCGGCCTTGTCTGTTTGTCTTGCAGGTTTCTGGCATGATCAGCTGTCCTTTGCACGTGCGGCAGTGCCAAAAACCAGTGTGCGCATGCGCGCCGGCCAGCTGATTGTCAGGTGCGCATGTGCACCAGAACCCGGAAGTTTAGCTTTTCTGGAGCATGATCCCTTCGCACACACGGCAGTGCTGAAAACCGGCCTGCGCATGAATGCCAGCCAACTGATCGTCGGGCGTGCATGCATGCTAGAACCTGATAGTTCAGCTTTTCCGGAGCATGGCCCTGACGAGTGGGTGCATGCGCTGTTTCCGTGCGACCTTTTCGGCACTCAGTGCCGAAAAGGTTCGCCATCACTGCTATATGGGGTGAATGGGTAAGTCTCAATATTAGAGAGGAAAAGACTGAAGACAGACCATATAATACATTTTGAATACTTAAAGGAATGTCATCCAGAAAAAGGCCAAGGCTGTCTTGTCTTGTCTTGATTTTGACTTGAATTGTCTTGCCTTGTCCTACCTTACATTTTACCTTATCCTTATTATTCTAAAATATGTGGGTTCAACTGGAAACTAGACAACCATCTCTCTGAAATGTATTGCACTGAATTCTTGCACGGAATAGCAAGAATTCTTCTATGATTGAAACCGCCCCTTCCTCTATGATTCAAACATAATTGTCACCCAACTCTATTATTGTAAATATCTAGATAGCCTACATCCGTGATGGCGAGTCAATGGCACAGGTGGCACGTGGAGCCATATTGGTGGGTACGTGAGCTCAGCTCCGGCGGACATGCACGCACCAGCCAGCTGATTTTCGGGCCTTCTGGGCCCACCAGAAGTAGGGAAACAGGCTGTTTCCAGCCTCCGGAGGGCCTCCGGGTGGGTGGAGAAGGCCGTTTTCACCCTCCCCAGGGTCCTAGAGAGGCTCTGGAGCCTGGGGAGAGCAAAAAACAGGCCTACCAGGGCCACCATGCCATCGCGTGCCAGAAGCAGGGAGAGCATGGGTGGCACGCGTGCATGCGCGGGGGACAGGTCACATATAAGTATGGGTGTGGGCACACATGTGTGCGCAACCCCTCCATGCTCCCCCCACTTTTGGCACGCGATGGCAAAAAGGTTAGCCATCACTGGCCTACATGGAGACAGAGCTCCAAGAATCCAAATGATGACATCTACTGATTCCACTTTAGACATCTCCACTTCTATGGAGAAGTGAGCTAATACTTTACAATTCTTACTGAGGACCAACTCAGCTCTAAGATTGCTCAGATGACCAGATATCCTTTTCGTTGTAAGGTTGAGACAATATTCTTATCCATCACATTTATCTAGGGCAGTGACGGTTAACCTTTTCGTCGCCGAGTGCCGAAACTGGAGTGCGTATGTGCTGGAGCACGCATGCATGCAGTGGCTAGCTGCTCTTCCGGGTTCCGTCATGCGCATGTACACCAGGCAGCTGGTCCAGCACGCATGTGTGCACCGGCCAGCTGCTCTCTTATGGGTTCCATCATGTACATGCACGAAGAACAGCTGCCTGGCGCACATGCACGTGACGAAACCCGGAAGAGCAGCTGATGACAGTGCGCGTACCCACAGAGAGGGCTCTGCATGTCACCTCTGGCACGCGTGCTATAGGTTCACCATCACAGATCTAGGGTTTCAAAATGTCAATAGAGAAGTTTTCAATCATTGAATGGCCTTCCCTAATATTTGGAACATTTTGTGACATAAAACAACAGAGCAATTTACTTTTTTTTTTTCCCTAAAAAAATCTTTCATTACTCTTCTGTGGAACCCATGCAGATTAATCTGATTTTTTCTTTCTTTCTTTTTTTTAAAGGTTACAGAAAGGGAAATTGCCTACAAAGGGTCATATTAATACAAAGGATAAGAATAACCATAGGAAGTAATGGGAGCTCTGTGAACAGCCTTAGGAAATAATAGGAGCTGAGAAAAGATTACTGCCCTGAATAGGCTTCATTGAAATCAGTGGAAACTCTACAGGGAATAAATAAAGCATGGAATGGATTCTGAAAGGAAGCAGAAGGGGTCCAAAAATATTGAAATACGTTTGTGTTACTCTTGCTGCCAGATGATTTTAAATTTCCTTCCTATTAAAATGTTCTACTACAAATATCAATGTATCTTCTGTTCCGTTTCTCTTCTTCAGTAGATACCAGCCAAAGAAGCAGTTTGGTGTAGTGGTGAAGGCACAAGGCTAGGAAGACCAGGATTCTAGTCCTGCCTAAGGCACAAAGCCAGCTGGGTATCTTGGGCCAGTCACTTCCGCTCAGCCCTAGGAAGGAGGCAAGGGCAACCTACTTCAGAAAAAACCTTGCTAGGAAAACTGCAGGGACTACTTCAGGTGGTCACCTAGAATCGGACATGACTGAATGGAAGAAAATATATATATATTAGACACCCTGGAAAATGGAGACAAAGAACAAGGTGAGGCTGAAGTAAATGATCCCTGAAGTTGGAAGGGTGGGCTCTGGAATGATCTCCCTCGGAGACTGAATGTGGAATGTGAGTGATGGTAGCTGGAAAAAGAATGTGAAATGTAAATCATTCAATAGAAGTGTAATCATTCAAGATCCTGAACTAACAACTTTCCTTGCAGTTCCACATTGCCATTCATTCTCAGAAGGTCCGTCTTCCAATTCTTAGTCCATTTCCCCATGCCCAGGTCTATTATTCCAACAACCTGCCTGTCATATCCTATCTTGGTTTCCTAACAGCATGTAGGATGGTTCTACTGATCACTGCAGCGTAACAATTCACATCAAGTATGTAAAAATCTATATAAAGGTTTTCTTGTTCCTGGAAGATAGGTAAGTCTGGAAGAAACTGTTTGTTCCCAGAGAATTTATGTATGTGTGTGTGTGTATGTGTAGTGTGTATACACATGCTGAATATATGCATATTTTGTATACACACACACAAACACATACACACAAAAGTGTAGATAGACAGGATATATTTATGATTTTCTAATACTTTAGCTTTCTGTGTATTGAATCCAGAATTTTATCAACCCCAAGGCATGGATCACAGCAGGAAATCAACTCTATAATAATAGAAAAACCCACTATTATTAAGATTGGTTAAAGTAAAGAACCTTGCAAGTCTGATATATTTACTACCATTTTACCACACTGTCATCATCTATCAGATCACCTACATTTTAAACTGTGATAGATTTTACCATTCTAAATATTATTTTCTAAATAAGCAATCTCCACCTCTTCTCTAAGAAAATCACTATAAATCATAGAAAACCACTACCTTAAATGTAAGCTAAGGTAAAGACCCCATGCATTATGAATGAATCTGGGCCAACATTCCACATTTGTGTCAGAAATCTAGCCACATAAAAGCATTAAATTGCAGGCCATGGAGAAATTATCACCCATATTTAAGGATTCTAAAATCTCAGAAAATTTAAAACAAAATCCAAATCAAGGGATTTGTATTTTATGCATTCTATATCCATCCACCAAGAGTAACACATTTTGTATTCACATAACAACTCTAAATGTCTTCTATTGTTTTGCCACATTAATTGTTCCAAATGCATGGCTCAGTTGCCACTTATATTTAATGCTTCTTGACCTCTTTTTTTTTTTAAAATTAATGCCCACTCAGCAGAACAGAAGGCATCTGCAGAGAGCTAAAAAAAAAAAAAAAGTGAATTTAAGCAGGGATTTTTCTTGATTATTTCTTCAGTTAAAAGCTTCAGCCTTTTTTACCTAGGCAATGCTTCCTGCATATCTCTGTCAAGGTGATTTTCTTTGCTCTTTACATAAGCCAAGATTATTTTTTTCTCCTAGATTTCAATAGGGGCTGTATTCAGCCAACACACAGAGATCACCTATTGATAAGGATGGGTGGTAATTTTGAAGCCAAGGTTCAGAAATTGCTTTTTAACCCACCCCACCCATCCCCGCTGAATTTTCCTTCCCTCACTTCTCTTTTCAATCATACATAACTCCCACTGTGGGTGAGGGAAAGCAACCAACTGCACCCCCTGTTGTGCTGACAGATCAAATGATGGAGGTTCTTGCCTTTGCGTGGATTCTCAATTCCTTGTTAGCAGTGGTGGGATTCAGCCAGTTCGCATCACTTCGGGAGAACTGGTTGTTAACTTTCTGAGCAATTTGGTGAACTGGTTGTTGGAAGAAATCATTAGGGCAGAGAACCGGTTGTTAAATTATTTGAATCCCATCGCTGCTTGTTAGGCTATTTTCCTCTTCTTTGCGAAAGTAGCAGTACCTGCTAGACCATCATCGATGCCTTACAGCCTCTTTTGGCTGCCCTTCTCAGCCACCCAATAACCTCTTCACCTTGAAAGATGTGCAAGCCAACCCTTGCTTCCACATTTTAAGGAAAATAACTAAATAATTCAAGAAGTGCATTTAAATGCAGGACTGAATCCAGCTTCTTTGGTCATTTGCTTCAACTTATTTTCTCAAATAAGTGTCTCAAAAGTTGCCAGTCACTTCCTTCTCATCCCTTTCCTCTTTCACTTCCCTTTTTTAGAAATAAACAGAAGATATGTACTATAGCAATAACACTTAGACTTACATACCGCTTCACAGTGCTTTACAGCCCTAAACGGTTTACAGAGTCAGCCTGTTGCCCCCAACAATCTGGGTCTTCATTTTCCTGACCTTGGAAGGATGGAAGGCTGAGTCAACCTTGAGCCTGGTGAGATTCGAACTGCCAAATTGCAGGCAGCCAGCAGTCAGAAGAAGTAACCTGCAGTACTGCATTCTAACACTGCGCCACCATGGGTCTCATGTATCACTGAAATGCAGCCTGGGTATTTGAAAACGTGATCAAAAGACATCTTGCAGAAAGGAAAAGAAGAATCACTTTAGAAAAATCACTTGGCTGACACAAAGAAACTATACACAGGTAGTCCTTGATTCATAACACTTCGTGTCAGCATTCCAGAAAAACCCCAACTCCAAGTAAAGACGTGGAAGCAAGAATTTTCCAAAGTTTTCTTTACTAGAATAGGCAAACTGGCACATCTGGGAAAACCTGAATCTGAAAAGCCCGGGTTTTCCTTCAGTCAAAGCTCTCAAAACCATCCCCTTTCCCCCCCAGTCAGTCACATGCTCCAATCAACGTCCGCTCCATCTCAATCCAGCCTCCTGACCACTCCTTCTCCAGATGCTGGATCGTCCTGACCTTGACCGACAGGAAGAATGCTATTGTGTCTACTAAGAACCCCTCTCCTTAATCCCCCCTCCTACTTTCCCACACACAAGAAGGTGGCAGCATTGGAGTTTCCGGCCTAATATGGCTTCTAAAGCTGACACTTTGTTTAATGACTGTTCAAAGATACAATAGCACTGAAAGAGGGGCTTTATGACTGCTTTTCACACTTATGACGTAGCAGTATTTCCGTGGTCACATGATCAAAATTCAAAGGCTTGGCAACTGGTTCATACTTATGACAGTGGCAGTGTCTCGTGTGAGGGGGTCATGTGACCACCTTTTTCCACCTTCTGAGAAGTAAAGTCAATGGAGAAGCCAGATTCACTTAACAACCATATCATCAACTTAACAACTGCAGTGATTCACCTAATAACTGTGGCAAGAAAGGTTGTAAAATGGGGCAAAAGCCACTTAACAAATGTATTGCTTAGCAACAGAAATGTTGGGCTTAATTGTGATCATAAATCAAGGACTACTGGGATTGTACCTCTAGTTCCCAAACAGATGTCATCACATCAAACTAGAGTCCTGAAGGTGTCATTAAAACTTGTACTCTGGCTGGCTAAGTTCTAGTTGGACTAGTTATGGATTCCAGAACATCTTCAGAAGGAAGTCAATTACTGCAAAGGGGCAAAAGAAGATTAAATGGAGAAATGAAGGTTGGGATAATGTTACATGCAGCTAGTATTCTCTGAAAACTTCCAGTCCTGAAGATCAGTTAGTTAAATCACACCACCCTGGATACTTTCTTTCTTTTCTTTCTTTTATTAGATTTATATACCGCCCTACTCCTGAAGGACAAAACATTTAACACTTTGCTGTTTTGCACTGATAGTAAACTGGATTCTTTCACAGTTAACACTGCCTAGGATAAAACTTTGCCATGCATACCTAATTATTATTTAAATAAATTTATTTCCTAGCTATCCCTTATATGTGTGACCGTCATTAAATGTTCCAGGTAGGACATAAGAGTCAACAACTTTTATATAATATAAAAAAGGGGGTGGGGGTTATTTTATTATTTTTATTTCTCTTATATTGTATTTTTATTTCCTGTAAGCTGCCTTGAGTTGCCTGTGAGCGAGTAGAACCTCAAGTTGGTAAGGCGTTTTGCTCTGATTGTAGCTAATATCTTCTGCTTCTTTTATAAAAATATTTAGACAGCAGAGACATTTTTCTCTTCAGTCAAATATTGTCTTGCCTCTCACCAAAAGGTCTAAACTACTGCATACAGATCTTTTCTTAAGCCATGAAGCACAATTAAACAGAATCATCCTTTTGAGCTCCGCTGAAGTATTGCAAAACGTAGAGCATCTGCATTCACAAGAATGGATCGCAGTATACTTTTCATTCTTGAGTGTGGATGTTGCAGTGCTTCTCAGGGTTCTTAGAAGCATCCCCCATATTCTTCAACGTGAGATACAAAAGACAAACATAGCAGAAGTATATTTTGCAGGATACTCAACACAATTTAAACAGGAGCTAATGAAGGGACAGACACATGCTTAGTAGACTTTCTGTGGGAATTTTATTCTATGGGATATATTCTGTGGATTTTCCAAAGACTCAAATTATATGAGAAGGATCAGGGAAACAAATGACATGGAGATGATGATGCATTAGATTTAAAGAAGACAGGATTTGCACGATTTGAAACATTATGATTAACTATCAATCATTACCTATCAGCATGTCCTACCTTACAGGATAGGTGACAGACAGAGGTGTCTGTTACCATGAACTTCCAGAAGAAAGGTAGGTGCCTTCAGCTTCGTGCCTATGCAAGCAAAGCGTGATCGGAGCTGCCGCCTCTCTATAAATACTGGTGGGGAGGTGTGGGGTGCTGGCTTTGTTTCTGTGAGTGGGTTGGTTCCCTGTGTTGTTATATCTTGATTAGTTGATGGAGT